TTCCTGCCCCACATCACAGCTCCCCCCATTCCTGCCCCACATCACAACTCCCCCATTCCTGCCCCACATCACAACTCCCCCATTCCTGCCCCACATCACAGCTCCCCCCATTCCTGCCCCACATCACAGCTCCCCCCATTCCTGCCCCACATCACAACTTCCCCCATTCCTGTCTCCCACACATCCAACAACTCTCTTGGCTCTCGACAAGTTTCCCCCACCGTCCCACCTTCCACTACACATAAGGGGCATAACTGGCAAACCCCTCACAGTGTTCAAGAGAGAACTGGATAAGCACCTCCAAAGGATACCTGATCAACCAGGCTGTGACTCATACGTCAGGCTGCGAGCAGCCGCGTCTAACAGCCTGGTTGATCAGTCCAGCAACCAGGAGGCCTGGTCGACGACCGGGCCGCGGGGACACTAAGCCCCGGAAGCACCTCAAGGTAGCCTCAAGGTAGGTAGCCTCCCCGCTCTCAAGCAGTGTTCCTGTACACTGTAGTCGCAAAACAAAAAGTCACTACCGCCACGCGTGCCCTGCCCTCTCACCATACTTATAATTGACCTCACAGCCCGTGTATGCAAGTCCTCAACTAGATGTGCTTGCTGGGTCGAGCTACAGCTACTGGCCCCGCCACCCGTACTCATTTAACCTCAATCACTCCTATTATAATTACAACTGACACCGAAGACATTCTAACACCCGACTGTTTTGTTTCTGTAGCTTTCCCCCCTCGCTCTGCTCTTCCCAGCTCTCAACATTGCTACTTTGTCAATTCTAGTTAGAATATTATGTTATCATGGCTCCCTTTCATTCCTCTCAGGCCTTCCTCGTATGTGTGTCATGTGTAAGTATCAGTGTGTACGGAAGAACATTGTCTGCAAATGCAGAATAGGATCGAGTCTTGTCACTCCTCCGGTCTACATCCACCCTCCAGAAGGGTACATCCTCCATACACTGTCGCTCATATAAACGTTTTGTACAGGTCCTACAAAGGTGTGTACACCAAATATTGACGGGAGTAAGTGGCCTAATCATTACTACTGTTGACACACCCTCGCAAGTCAAAACAGAAAAACAAAACAAAAAAATAAAGAGTTGTAATAGTGATACGCATGTAAGTATTATGGACCAATCTTTGTCGGAGACAAAAAAATGGGTCCCGGGTGCTGAGAGAGAGAGAGACACGCGTCTCCGTGGCTTGCAGCACCTCGCCCCCACCTTCCCTCCTCCCAGGGCGACGAAGCCGAGGGATAATTACAGCCGACAGCCTGGCACATGGTGGTGGTGATTGGCGGAACACAGGCAGTTGACTCCTGTACCCCGCTACCATCCTCGCATCTATCCCACGCACCACACGCAAAAAAAGAAAAAGAAAAAAAAAACGAAAACGAGAAATGAGCAGCAATTTGGCAGCGCTGCGGGGCAGCTAGGCTACAGGTGTCTGCTCTCATTTGCCACTATAAAGCGATGCCACAATCACCACCACATTCCTCATTTCCACGCTGTGTACTCGGCTCTATCTCATCATCTGCCAGACGCTGTTGTCTCCACTAACAAAAAAATATATATATAACAATTACCTCCTGATTTGGACCAGTGATAAAGTCTTGTTATAACACCTTCACCAATGTGCAAAAACGTTATGGTTCTCGGGTGGCTTCTCAAATTTGCTTTCAATTACAATCAGTATAATCCGCGCTAACGCATGCTCGAGAGCAGGACAAATATGGCCCGAAGATTGCTGTCAAATATACCTGAACTTGGGATGACTATAATCCAGCTTGGTACACGACTGGAGGCCGGGTGGGTGACAGTGGGAGATGGGGCGGCCAGGGCCCTCCTGTGGGCGAGGCGCGCCACTTGCCTCCGACCTCCAAACTAGAATTATATGAGAAATATACCATGATTGTAGACAGGACAGCAGAAGTGCTAAACCCTGCCTCGGGAGACTATATATATAGAAGCTTACTGCTCTGCCCTGTCCTCACCCCACAAATTCTAAGTCCTTCGCACCAAACACAGTGTGACAGCTGTAATCTTTCTTGCCATTCACTCCCCAGCTAGTTGTAAGGCATCTACATTAATACAATTTCTCGTGGCCAGTCCGCGTGTCATAAAATTACAACTTAGAAAAGTACAACATTAAATTTTAAGATCTTGTGAGCGGGTTTGTAAACAAGACAACATTGTCAGTGTCTCAGACGAGGAGCAACATCGTCTGCTCGAAGTCTCTTTCCATTCAATGTAATTATTCAGCATTGTATTTGTTGAAATCAGTTTTTATCATCTTCTTGAGATGATTTCGGAGCTTTAGTGTTCCCGCGGCCCGGTCCTCGACCAGGCCTCCACCCGCAGGAAGCAGCCCGTGACAGCTGACTAACACCCAGGTACCTATTTTACTGCTAGGTAACAGGGGCATAGGGTGAAAGAAACTCTGCCCATTGTTTCTCGCCGGCGCCTGGGATCGAACCCAGGACCACAGGATCACAAGTCCAGCATGCTGTCCGCTCGGCCGACCGGCTCCCTTTTTCTTGCTCATATTCTGTACACAGGTTTTGTATATAACCAGAAACTAGTGAAGTCTAACCACTAATAACGCACCAGCAGACTTATACCGTGTACAGATATGTCTTCCTTAATAGATGGATAACTGGCATGTGTGTATACTTATTGTGGCCGCGGGTGGTCACACCGCCCCTGGCGGAAGAAGTGTATTAGATTATGTTTCACCCGAATTTCTCTTCCACAGCCCCGCTCCTGTGCCAGGTAAGTCCTCGACGGGCTCACCATAGCCCGTGCTACTTGGAACTTTTTGTTCCCAGTAGCTGAATCTAAAAAAACAACAACAATGCGAATTTCATCGTGCCATTACGGGCTATTCATGCCCGTGCCCCCCTGGGCGGCTTAATCTTAATCAATCAATTTGATCTCGCTTTGGACTCCGCCTGCATAACAGAACTGACTTGCCGAAGCATGTGACTTGTATGTAAGAGTTGACAACAAGCAACATGGCTGTATTTTGCAACATACGGCTATGTAGCCTTTATGACAGTTTCATTTGATAGTTACTTTCCATTTTCAGTGAAACAAGAAACTATTTAATCAATATTGAAAATTGCTTAGCATACAGACCACTTAGGGGTCCAGTAATTTACCCGAGGGCTATCGACACTAGTGGCTTCGACGAGAACATGAAGCCGGCGGCTTGTCGAAGGTGCCCCCCCCTCATTTGCCCTATCATTTGCATTTTATCACTTCCCTTGATAATCTTTTCCAGTTTAATTTTGAAATTGAACAGTCTTGGCTTTGTAATATGCAATTCTGTAATCCTCTCACCATGGCCGATACTGTCAGCAAGAAGCCTATTTTAAGCTGAACTTAAAACCTACAGTAAATGTATATGCATGTTTATATAGGGGAGAGAGAGAGCAAGAGCGAGAGAGCGATAATACCCCAGGGATGGCAGACCCACGCCAGGTGGGTATAGGACCATCACCTGCCCGACACAGTACAACCCCTAGGGGGGCAGGGCTCACCGCAACCCCTGCAGGCACTCGTATACCTCCCCCCTACCACACTATCACCCCCATAATACACTCACTATCACCCCAACAATACACTCACTATCACCACAATACACTCAACCACCACCACCACCACAATTACACTCACACCCGTCACCAATTACGTTCAAGTAACCACTACAATCAGTAGTTTACCTTTACGGCTAGTCCCTAAGAGGCTGTTGTGGCACCCCCAGGGGTCACAACCACCAAGCCCCCGGTTATTACAAGAACAACAAGTTATGCATGAGCAATGGTCTGAGAGTGGAGAGGCCCACAGAGTCCTGGGCCAGGGCCACTAATTACCCCCAGATAAACGCCCACAAATGCATCTCACATACACTAGGAGGCAGAGATTATACCCTGACAATTATTACTAGGCTACCGTGCCAGAAATTGCGATATTCCTTCTTTGGTTCGACTCTGCAGTAAAGGTTTAAACGATAGCTCTCAAATGCGCTTCATAATTGTGTAATTATGACTTCACAGACAATCAAAATACTTTTGACAATCCTTTGCACCACAGAACGTTATTTAGAATATAAGCAAACTACAATAAACTCAGGATCTGTAGTCGTAGTTCTGAAGACAGTATCTCGGTATCGTTCCACACTGACCTAACAAGCAGTTGTACCCTTATCCTCTCAAAATATAATTTATGTACCATTTTTTCTAACACATAGAAACTGAACTATCCTTCAAATCTCTTCAAAAACATTCGACAAAAATAGTTAATCCCTCGACGGTAAACTTCTTCCGTTTTCTATTAAACCGGCCGAGAAGTTCAGGCGCTAAAGTGATAACCCGAGAAGCCTCCACAAACTGTTTTGATCTTTGGGAAACGCGAATCATCAATGATAAACAAATGACGTTGAGTGGACGAAATCCCAGGCCGGCACGCCAGCTCGTTAGAACTAACCTTACTAACTATCCCCCTTTCCAAACGACCACCAGATAACATCTCGTACGAGTTATCTTTGGGAGGCTCTCGAGGATGCTTCGGGGACCATACAGTGTCCCACGGGCGGCGCACCTGCATGGGGACTCCCAGTTCACCCACTGTGCCGTGTCGTGACCCCAGCCAGGGAGCCGAGATGGGTGACCCCAGCCAGGGAGCCGAGATGGGTGACCCCAGCCAGGGAGCCGAGATGGGTGACCCCAGCCAGGGAGCCCAGATGGGTGACCCCAGCCAGGGAGCCCAGATGGGTGACCCCAGCCAGGGAGCCCAGATGGGTGACCCCAGCCAGGGAGCCCAGATGGGTGACCCCAGCCAGGGAGCCCAGATGGGTGACCCCAGCCAGGGAGCCCAGATGGGTGACCCCAGCCAGGGAGCCCAGATGGGTGACCCCAGCCAGGGAGCCGAGAGGGGTGGACCCCAGCCAGGGAGCCGAGAGGGGTGGACCCCAACTAGGAAGCAGAGAAGGGTGACCTACCTGAGAGCGGAGATGCGGGGTCGACACGGTCGGCGACAAGACTGTAGGAGTGCTCCACCTTGACGGCGGGCGTGTCGTGGTGGTGGACGGCGAGGATGGTGCTGAGAGGCCCCAGAGACCCCAGGGAGCTGAGCTGGGAGATGACCCCGAGGGAGGCCTCGGTCATCAGGCGGTCGTTGAGCACCACTCCTGCAGCGCCGCCCATCCCGCTGTTCTCCAGCACTCCCGCCCAGTCCAGCTCGCTGGCCGCCTTCAGCGCCTCCTGAGGGAACATAAACAACTGTTACTTGTGGTCGTGGTTACACTAGTTACGGGGCCCTGTTAAGGCTAGTTACGGGGCCCCGTCAAGGCTAGTTACGGGGCCCCGTCAAGGCTAGTTACCGCCAGTGAAGCGTATGTCGGCTCACATGTCCGTAGTAGTTAGTTGTTAGTCAGAACAATCATTATTCGACTCTGCATCCGTCAAGGCCTCGAGTAACAAGATTATTACCTATCATTAACCTATGACAATTACTGCTATCATCAATATTATTGCTCTAATTTGGACATCTTTTAAAAACCACATTAACGCCTTTTAACTTCCACAGACTCCTAATAATCAATTAGTGCACAATAACTACGTAATTACGTCTCAAGTCCACTAGAGAATAAAGACTGCCCAAAAGTCTAATTGCTCACACATACACAGCACCGCTCCTGTGCCAGGTAAGTCCACTACGGGCTCACCATAGCCCGTGCTACTTGGATCTTTTGTTCTGAGTAGCTGAATCTAAAACAACAAACAAAATCTAATTGCTGCGGTTCTCGGCGTGATTGGCTGTTCATACTCAATGTGTGTGTTCTTGAAGAACATGATGATAAGTCTCAATCTTGTGCGACAATAAAATGATTATTAATATAATGAATCCTAGTTCCTGAACAATCGGCAATAATTATTCCTGATCAACAACAACGCAGGTGTTGGCGTGACAAGCCGCAGGTGTTGGCGTGACAAGCCGCAGGTGTTGGCGTGACAAGCCGCATTACTCCATTCAAAATATACCCGAAATATATCTCCATCTTAAAGAGGTATGCTGCAAATACCAACATATATATAATTTGTCTTCACAAACTGCGAAGTCTGAGGAAAAAAAATATAGAGAGCCGACTCTATAGAATACTACAAAGCTGTCGGCTCTATAAACCGCCGACAAAGGTTGATTACGTGGCTACACAGGTGTCCCGACCAAACCTGGTTCACCTGTGTACACGCGCGAGCGCGGACGCGCACTCTCGCATCCATATATTGTGTAGTTAACTAACACATCGTGTTTCAGATGTTATATGGCGACCAACGTGTAAAAATGTCACTGATTATGGCGACAAGTAACTGCTCGTCAAATATCAGCGTTTTCTGTACATCGGTTAGGTTTGGTTTAGTGGGTTGCTGGGGTGTGTACGTTTCTGGTTGGGTTAGGTTAGATTTTGCAGGTTATAGTAAATGAAGGAAATGGGTTGCAAGCACAGGCAATTCCCCCCCCCCCTCACACACACACCAGAAAGTCGGGGTCCAAGAGCTAATGTTCCATCCTGTGGGCACAAATGGGTGGGTACGAGTGAATGCATCCCCCCCCCCCCACACACACACGCATGCACGCGCACTCACTCAAACATATACACGCAAACATATATGCACGCCAGCACTAATACACGCACCCCATAATGTGCGTGCTGTGAGCGTGTGTGTACGTAGGTGTGCTCATGTGTGTGTATACGTACTCACCTATTTGTACCCTGCAGGATCAACCTTTCGCTCTAGGACCCCATCTCTCCAGCCGCTGATGTCTAATATAGTGACTCCGACGTCCTTCCCTCTCATATCTACTTTTGAAATGGATTAGGCTTCTATAACCTACTCATTTAGTGCATTCCATTTCCCCCCCAATACTCTCACGTTTAAATAGAACTTTACATTTTTGTTATGACACGCGCGTTTCTTAAGCTTCCCTCCACGTTCATTTGGTGTTCATTTTGAACATCTCTCAACACTCTTGTCAGTCTAGACCTCATTCGAACCCCATCGCTCGTATTCCTGGGTCAAGTCTGAACCTTTTTTTTTTTTTTTTTTTTTAAGTTTCCTGATGTGCATTTTAGGCGAGGCTCTACGATGGAGCTGCATACTCTACAACTGGTCTGACATAGGTGGTGTAAAAGCGATCCAAAAGGTAGTGTATAGTATGCTGCAAGTAGTTATTAAAATCATTGGTCCCGGTAGCTAGTACAGTCGAGTCGTTCTCGGCGCACAATCGACAATTCCGGGTTCGAATCCCGGGCGGGGCAGAAATGCCTGGGCACAGTTCCTTTACACGTAATGCGCCTGTTCACCTAGCAGTATGTAGGAACTCAGGAGTGAGTGAGTTTGTTGTGGGGTCAGTAATTCGACCTTGGGGGGGGGGGAAGTAGGGGGAAGGAGGAGGGGGGGGGGAAGTAGGGGGAAGGAGGAGAAGGGGGGGAAGTAGGGGGAAGGAGGAGGGGGGGGGAAGTAGGGGGAAGGAGGAGGGGGGGAAGTAGGGGGGAAGGAGGGGGGGACCTCGTTATAAGCCTAACGTGTATGAATATACTCTGGCTTCCTGTCCCCCCCCCATACAATGAATAATTATTACTCACAGACATTTGTTAGTCTCGCTGTTACAAGGAAGTAGAGTTCCCCCTTCACCGTGTACTGTCCTTACTCTACTGTCGTGGCGTGGGAGTACTGCCCTCGTGGTCTCCTGGCACCTGCTATTAATCACCTTTCTCATCCACTTGCCATTTCTCAGATCAACTCTGCAACTGTTAGTGAGATCTTCGAATAGTTTACAATCCCCCCAATCTGTCTTGTCCCTGCTCAAGTCTGCATCGTCTGCGGATATGAACATGTAGGATTGGACCCTCCCTCCCCTCCCCACCCCCTTGTATACAGTATGTTATTGATGTGGACGAGAAACGGTGTAGGTCCCAGCACCGATCCTTGAGGGACTCCGCTTGTTGCCTTCTGCCAAGCCGACATCTCTCCACCCCCCCCCCCTCCCCACTGACACACACACACGAACGTACGTACGTACGTGTGTGTACGTGTGTGTGTGTGTGTGTGTGTGTGTGTGTGTGTGTGTGTGTGTGTGTGTGTGTGTGTGTGTGTGTGTGTGTGTGTGTGTATGTGTGTTTGTGTGTGTGTTTGTGTGTGTTTGTGTGTGTTTGTGTGTGTATGTGTGTATGTGTGTGTGTTTTTTCACCCGTGTCGCTGCTCGACCCCTTACTGTTACTCTGATTTAAATTAACAGTCTCGTATGTGGAATCACGTCAAAACTTTGTTTTTCTTTCTTTTTTGGCAGTCCAGAAACTGGTTCATTAAGCACGACTTTAGAGAAGCCATTTTAGTGTTTGTTCAAACATCACGTTCTCCCAAGGCGTTCCCTGGACACGCCTCCTCTTCCGTCCTGTTCTTCTCAATACCTCGCAGAGAACGCTTGTCTGCTTGCTGTTGTTTTAGATTTAGCTACTCAGAACGAAATGTTCATGTAGCACGGGCTATGGTGAGCCCGTAAGTTTGTCGGCGACAACGGTATATGTAGTCAAGTGAATCCTCCTCCTCATCCCCATTCTTGTACACCTGCTTGATGGGGTTCTGGAAGTTCTTCTACTCCCCAAGCCCGGCCCGAGGCCAGGCTCGACTTGTGAGAGTTTGGTCCACCAGGCTGTTGCTTGGAGTGGCCCGCAGGGCCACATACCCACCACAGCCCGGCTGATCCGGAACTTCTCTTAGAAAACAGTCCAGTTTTCTCTTGAAGATGTCCACGGTTGTTCCGGCAATACACTGCGACCACATTGGCTTTCTTCCTCCAACTGGGATAAACTTTCCCCAGTTGACTCCTTGAAGATCAATGCTAGAGGTTCAGATTGATTGATTGATGAAGATTAAGCCACCCAAAAGGTGGCACGGGCATGAATAGCCCGTAAGTGGTAGCCCTTTGGAGCCATTACCAGTATCATTAGTTGATACTGGAGATCTGTGGAGGTGCGACTGCACCCTACGGAGAGGTCGTGACCTCTCTAGAGGTTCACTAGGGGGGGAGGGGGGCTTCTTATCTTGAGGTTATCTTGAGATGATTTCGGGGCTTAGCATCCCCGCGGCCCGGTCTTCGACCAGGCCTCCTTTCTGTTACACATCCCCAGGAAGCAGCCTGTAGCAGCTGTCTAAACTCCCAGGTACCTATTTACTGCAAGGTGAACAGGGAAATTAGGGTGAAGGAAGCGCTGCCCATTTGTTTCCGCCTCCACCGGGGATCGAACCCGGAACCTCAGGACTACGAATCCGAAGCGCTGTCCACTCAGCTGCCAGGCCTCTGTCAGGGCTCGGCAGATTTTGTTTAACATCCATAGTGATGCATCGTCTCGTGGCTCTCAATTACCAAAGTCTAGCTGGTTGACCTATCACGTCCACGGCTGTTACATCAATATTTATCACGTCTCTCGTCTTGGGTTAATTTCCTAACAAGGTGTGGCCAATTAGCCAGCTTGCCCACCACGCAAATTGCCATTTAGTTCCTCACCAATTCCTTGAAACTCTAGTTTATTACATATATTGCTATATGCTAACGTTCCATCCTGAACACAGAAACAACTCTGGACCTTTAAGAGGGTTACTTTCTGGTACTCTCCTCATCTTTGTGGACTTTTGTAAGCGCTGCTGCTGCTGCTATTCCCGTTTTCTTCTCTCCGTTATTTTGTTTCCGGTTTCTCTTGCTTTTTCTTTTACTTTCTTGACTTTGAGGAAAGCCATGGTTCCTCAGACGTTGTTCTTTATGGTCGGTCGGTCGGTCGGTCGGTAGGTCGGTCTCTCTCTCTCTCTCTCTCTCTCTCTCTCTCTCTCTCTCTCTCTCTCTCTCTCTCTCTCTCTCTCTCTCTCTCTCTCTATCGTCTGTGCATCTCTAACTTTATCTTATATTTAATTAGGGGATGGACTCCAGGCTGGAGCTGTATACTCCAAGATTGGTCTGACATAAGTGATACACAAGGTCCTGAGTGAGTGAGTGAGAGTGAGTGAGTGAGTGAGTGAGTGAGTGAGTGAGTGAGTGAGTGAGTGAGTGAGAGCAACACTTGTGGTGGTGGGGTCGTCACAAGGTGCAAGTGGACCACTATACAGAGACCTGCTCCCCGACACACGTGAATTGCAACACATTAAATTACTGGAAATAATTTAAATTTGTGGGGAAGGACAGGGAGTGTGTTAGTGGGGGAGGGGGG